AATAAAAAAATAAAAAATAAAATTATTTTTTATTTATTTTTTATTTTTTAAGCCAGTCATCCCGGGTCCTCTTCGTCCCCGTCCCCGTCCTCATCCTCATCCTCGTCCTCCTCGAATGCGCATGCGCATGTGTACAATATTACGATTCAGACCCCTCCTCCATCCCCGCTCCCTCCCTCCGCGCCTCCGGCGACACGATACAACGTACAACGCCAAAGACTAACTAACCTAACCTTTCACATATAGCGGGAGGATTTAGACGAGGGTCTGATGAGATGACATAAGGAGATGAGATGAGATGAGATGGGACGAAAGAATCCGAGAGACGGACATTGGACGCACGTATGTGACGAATTTAAACTTCTCCTGCCCTTGGGTCCTGTGCTTGCTTTGCTTCGAGTCTCTCGCCCTTGCGTCCTGCATGTCCAAGCCTGTTCCCATGTCCCCACCCGTTTGGACCCACTCGCACTCGCACTACAACCCCAACCCCTTCCTCTTCCTGTGCCTCATCCTTGTTCTCTTTCTCTTCACGCGCACGTCCAGCACCAGCACCAGCACCAGCAACTGCATCTACACCCGCACCCGCACGCACGCGGATCACATGGAAAAGGCATTGGAATATCGAACATTGAGAGCGTTCAGGGCAGTTCAGAGTACGACGTCGAGGACGTTGAGGTGCGGGTGTGTGCCCTGCATCGAGAAACAGATCAGATCTGGGTTTGCTCCTGGACCGAGAGGCTGAAGAGGAGGGTATCGGGTATTGGATATCGGGCGCTGGACTGTACGAGGATCGAGGATCGAGGATACGCAGGTGCGGATGATATCGATGAGCTGGGCTGGGGGATGTCGATGAACGTGGGAGTCTGGTTTAATCGGCGATGGGAGAGAGGAAGGGGAAGAGGAAGGGGAAGGGGAAGGGGAAGAGGGTGCCTGCGGCACGGAGGGAAGCAAGGTTTCGACGAAAGAGGATGTAATTCAAGGCCTGAAGCTGAAGCTGAATGAGAGCACGAAAGAACGGAATTGGAATGCGTGGGGTGACGATCGATAAGAAGATGGATGGCAGAGTTGGGGTTCAGAAGATGGAAGGGATGAAAGTGAGGCCTAGGATAGAGCGAATGGAACGTAAAAAGGAAAACACATAATAGATGGTAAAGGACTTACCAGAGTGATACTCGTGCACGAACCAAGCGGGGCGGGGAAATTCCAATACGAAGGAAGGGCGAGGAAGCTGCCGCTGATAGACGGAGACTCGGAGGACTCGGGGGAATCGACAACTACTCTAGAGACGAGAGACGCGGTACTAGTAGGCGACCATACGATCGGAAGGCAGGCAGGTGGCGGGACGAGCCCGTGCGTGCGTGTATGCAGATAGACGGGCGGGAGCTGCTACCAACGAGACTCAGAAGCAGACTCACTGGACTCAGACTCAGACTCGGCCGGGAGGGGTAGTAGGGAGGGAAGGCACCCTCCGGGACCGTGTCGAGCGCGCGTACGTCGTCCACGCTAGGCCGAGCTCGACTCGACGTATTTTACTTCAAAGGCGAATGCGGGGTTGGTGCTATTGGTGGCCGCTGGATTTCATAGTCGGGTGAGTCGATGTACATAAGTGCCATCGAGCCGGAGCAGCCGCATGGTTAGGGTGAGGTCATACATGAAGGCACGGCTGGGTTTGAAACACCTCGGAGTTGACGCGGTGCGGGGAGGGGGGAGAGGACTGAATAACGAGGGAAGGAAGGAAGCAATGATGATGACGTACAGCCAGGCGAGGGCGATACCGGGCCGGATGACCGAGAAGACCGAGCAAATCAGAGGACGGCCCAACATCGATCAGCGATCCTCACCTGCATGCGCATACGACCATGACCACGACCCCCCTTTCACTGCAGTGAGTCTGACGCGCCACGATTCAACGGGCCAAAAGCCTCTGCTTCGTACCATTCATGATTCGATGAGGATCGACCGACACGCACTTCCACTTCGATCGCCAGCACCGTGCCCTTGCCCACTTCGTCCTCCTCTCTGGGCTCGTCTCTGCCCCCCTGGGTCCCGTGCGCACTGCTCCTAGTGCCACTGCAAGCTCTCCTCCGCCTCCTCCTCTGGTGTTGGTGTTTCTGCTCGGACATCCTCACGCGCACGCCTTGCCTCCATCGCCAATCCCCTGACCTGCGCACCTTCAAGCCCAGTGAAAACTGGCTCTGAGAGGATCTGACGTCGTCTGAGGTAAGCTGAGGAAATATGCGCCTTCAGCAAATCTCAGCTCGGCTCAGCTCCCCTCATTTTTTTGCCGTTTTTCAGATTTAAATATGCTATGATTTGCCAGCTTCTGCGACCAGCTGCCCTACTCTAGGCCGCTCGCTCCCGCTTCATTATCCGTGATGATTAAAAATCAAATTTAATTCATAATTAACCCATAATTAACTACGACAGAAACCGATAGCTAAGTCTCCCGCTGAGCGATTGATCCCTCCTCCGCTCGTCCTCACTCGCTCCGCCCCTCTCCGCCCCTGTGCGAGTCCTTGCTGGCTGTGCGATTGGCCTATCGACGTATGGAAACAGAGGAGGCAGGCCCCTGTGTAGTACCCATGTCGAAACATGCTGCGTTAGAGATCAGGTTAATGGCGTGGCCGGCAAGGGAAGAGTTCAAACGAGCGCACCTCAGCTTTCGCGACGGGGCGCGTGTGTAGGTGCCATACAAGGGTGCTACAAGAATATGGTTACATGACACGGGAATTGTGAACAAAATGAACAACTTGCTTGCGAGATAGCTCACGTCGGGCAGTGTTGAGGCTCTCGGGCCCGCATACATTCGGGTAACTACAATACGAGCAAGGTGTTGAAACACGTACCGTTCGTTTTTTCTTCATCGCCTCCATTCCCGTCACGTCGAACGTCGCGCTTCGTCGCGCTCAGCACGAGCCAGTCCCGTCGAAGGTTCTTAGTCGTGCAGATGTTGCGGAGCGTGGAGCTGCTTGCTGTGTGACGCCTTCGCAAGATAGAAGCCGTTGCAAAAGCGAAAAAGGAGGGACGGATAAGAAGGGAAGAGGCGGCGGGAAATTCCAAGTAGGGCAAAGGGCGAAAGTGGATCCGGGAAAACCCGAAACCGGAAGTGGGTTGGAGAGTGTAGCATCGCAGCAGTGTCGATGGGACGCAGCAGCACAGTTGAGCGGATGAGATGGCCAGAGGCACTAAAAATCTACGCGATCGAGTTGCTTTTTTGGTTCAGATTTGCTCAGAAAAAACTGCCAAAATCTGAGGATCGCGTTTTGCTCAGAAATTTTCCGAAACAGATCAGATCATCCCCGTTTCTAGCAGATTAGCTCAGAAACCAACAGACCCGGCATGTCCGTTTTTCACTGGGCTTCAAGCTTCAGCCCATAGGAGCACTCGCTCGCTGTGTCCGTCGTCAAATCCACCGTGCTTTTTTACTTCGTATCGTCGAACGGTAACCTGTGGAGGTCTGAGGAAGGGAGCTGGGTTGAGCGTGACACGTGAAGTTGGGTGAGAAGATGGAGGTGTCGGGGACGAAGCTGAAGGTGAGTGGGTCGCCGTTTTTCATTCTTCTTTTTCACGTCCGCCCTCGTCTCGGACCTCCTATAGTGGCTCTGCGTCCCAAACTGTGCGGATTCTCGCGGTTGGATCACTCAAGTTCATCTTCATCCCATGCGCATACTAACCCCTCCGCTCTTCCTCCGGATCCTAGATTACATCCTTTCAAGCCGTCCCCACCGCCATCATTCTCAATGCCCAAACTCAACACCCTCAATCCTATCATCTTCCACTCTCGTCGCGCCCCCCATCCCAGTGCCCATTCTCCTTTCATCATTCCAGGCGCCCATCCACAACTCTTCCTCCCCACGTCCACTTCCGCTCCACCCTATCCACTCCACCCTCCTCCTCCTCAGTAACAGACGGCTCCAAACCTCATTCAACGTTATCCCCCACACCACACCATTCACTTCGGTCTAGCCCAGTATTCTATGACATCTTCAAGTTACGATTCGAAGGCCAGAGCTGAAGCGCTGAAGCATGAATGGCCGCCGGCTGTGTCGAATTGCGTCCCCCATCCGCCAACGAGGATATCGGACGTCGGATGGTCAACGATCAATGGACTCAGACTGTTGGTGGTGGGATTTAGGTTCATAGCCTTGAGGACCCCGTGCCGAGTATCCCGATCGAAATTCTGCGATACGGGCAGATGACGAGAAGGTTATGGGAAAAGGAAGGAAGGAAGCTAGATGGAGACGAGGTCAAAGGATCCATCACCCACCGGCACCTCGCCAGGTACGTCGTAAGTACTTCGTTTTCTTCCGCTCTTTCCCTTCTTTTCGCTCCTACTCTTTTCTTTACCACTTGTCTTTTTCTCTGTCGTCTTTCCGCTCCTTCGCTCGTCGCCCTTCGCTCGTCGCTCTTTCCCTCTTACGTCTTTCTCTCTTCTTCGCTCCGTGTCTGCTTCTGATCTGGCTCTTCCACTATCGATGCTATATACTCTATATTTCGCGTCTTTGTCTTTAGACATAGACGCGGGTACGTACGCCCTCTCCTCTCTCCTCCCATTTCCCCCCACTTTCGTTCGCGCACAGTTCTTCTTTCGTGCTGCCAGCCCCGAGCTTTCAACTCCCATCTTCGAAAGACCCCCCCTGTCCTCCTTTTGACCCGAGCCTCTCGTTTCCCGTGGTTACTCCTGCGCTTGCTTCGCGTCTTCGCGCGTGCCCCACGGGGCCGTATCCGCTCGTTGGACACTGTCTTCTTTCCTTCTTTGCATTTCCTTCTCCCTTCTTTTTTTTTCTTTTTTTTCTCTTTGTCGGTCTCGTCCCTGACTAGCTCAACTTTCTGGATGGGACGTCACGACCGTCTTCCTCCATTTTCTCGGTACCCGTCCACATCCGCATTTCCCTCCTCTGATAACACGGCTATTATAACCTTCCTCTTCGTTCTCTACTCTTCTACTTGAACTTCGTTCTCTACTCTCCGACTTGAACTTCGTTCTCTACTCTCCGATTTGAACTTTGTCCCCTCCGCTCCGGGCCTTCGCATAATCCAACGACTCTTGTCCAGGTCTGAATCGCGTGACGTCCCAAGATGGAAGAATCCAAGCGGGGACGGTGGAGGAGGTATGACTCAGAGCAGAGCTCGAGCAAGACAAGACGAGGCGAATGATCGGCTCCCCGGTGTACTGCGCCCACCTTCCTCTCAAGCTCTTTTTCTTCGGTTCCTGTCCATTTTTCCTCCTGCTTTCAAAATATCGAGCTTTCAATTCCCATCTTCCTCGGCGGCCGGGGCACCATTCTCCCTTTTCTTTTTCTCTTCTGCCCTCTCCTCCTCGGTCTATGCCCGTTCACCAGTCTATGCCCGTTTACGAGGCGACAACCCCCAGCGCCACCACTATTGGTTCCATCTCTGCGCTCGACTGATGACTCCCTAGCAATGCGTGTCAGTCGGTGTGGAGGTGTGAAGGGGAATCCAAAAACTGTGTCGGGGCTGGCGGTCGTGCGTCCTGTCAATGGTTCAACTTCGCCGCTGAAGGATAGTGGATTCACTTTAACTCGCCTCATCGTTCAGTTTCAAATGGAGCTGTGTGGTTCTGGTTCTGGTTCTTGGTGGAGAGAGCGCTCTTTGGATATCATCTTCTTTCTTTAATGTATCTTTGTTTTCTCCCTTTTTTGTCTCGTCCCGGACTACTTGGACAGGACGGACGAGCCGCCGTCCAGTTTCTTCAAACTCTTTCTCCCTCTCGGCATTCCATTGGATAAGCCTCGACGAAAGTGCCAATTGCGAGAAAAGGTGTGTCCATCGATCGACCTCGCCATTTTCTTCTTTTCCTGCTCTCCATTCCGTTCTTCACGTCCTCCTTCGTGCCTCCTTGACGCCGCCATCTCGAACCTGCTAATGACTATCCGAGCTTTCTCCCCACACTCTGGAGTTTCGCGGTTGGATGAGATCATCGAGCGCGGTACGTCCATGCTCGCCTTCTTCCTTCAACCTCAATTGAACTAGCGTCTCTTCATTTCGTGTTTGTGCTTACCCTCCTCCGCTGTCTTCCTCGTAGGTCATATCCGCTCCAAGTTTCAACTCTGTTTGTTGGACTCCCCATGTTCACCATAATCGCCGCCTGAGTCGAATCCAGCATACCGTTCATCAACATCTGGTAAGTAGAAGTCCTTCCGCTACCCAAATACTCATCACTTACATATGCCATCCCGCAGCCCTTTCACGCTCGTATCTGGTTCGGGTGCCTCTCTCCCAGCTCCCAGGCCTCGTGCATATGTAGTACATTTGCGCTTCTTCCTTCTTTCCTTCCCATTCGCCCATCGTTTCCTGCTTCCCTTCTTCCATTAGCTCATGCTTATGTTTATCTTCACCCCAAACAGATGCACGAAAATCACATATTCCATTTTTTTCCCAGAGCGTCTGCGAACGGAGACAAGATTACTTCCTCTCAGAAGGAAGGAAGGAAGAGCTATCGACCACGCCTTGGAGGAAGGATACACAGGCCACGCCTCGGTACGTCCGTACATCGTCTCTATTTTTCTCTTCTGCCTCTCATCTAAAGGAACTCGTCTTTCCTGAACAGCTTCCGCGTCTTTTTCAGGACATTAGAGTCATAGTACGCCCTCTCCTCTCTTTTTCTCGGGCCCACTCTCACTCTCTTCCTCAACCTATGCCCATCATAACGATCACGAAGCCACAGCCCGCCAGCGCCGCTGTTGTTCGTCTCACCTCTACGCTCGGTCGACAATGTTGTAATGCGCGTTGGTCGGCACGGAGGTGTTGATGTCTCAAATAGTAACTAGGGGCTGGCGGTCATGGTCTTGGATCCCAGTTCAAGTTCGCCGTCCGGTTCTCGTTCTTTATGTTTCGCACTCGTTGGATCTGGGCCATCTGACGCCGTCTGGTTTCCTTAAACTCTTTCTCCCATTAACCTCCCGTTGACGGATAGGCGATATGCCACACTCAGAATAGCACTATCCAGTGTATCCACGACCCATGATGCCTATTATGCCCTCTCACCTAGGTTGGCCCTGATGCGATGCACGCTGATTCCTTCATGGCCGCCTAGTTGTCTGATGGTTATAGTAGGCAAATGGGTCGTGAATGCCAATGCGTGTGAGGCCTTCTCGGGGTTTCTCGCCGATTCGCTTATGTGGTCATTCCTCCTTTGAGTTCGTATGTCATGGATTCGGGGACTGGCGGACCGCAGTGCGCGTGTCGTGGGTCATGATTGAATATGCATGCGTGCGCTATGCTGGCTTATCTCATCTCACGCGAATGAACCTTCGTTTCGTCCCCGTCCTCGTGCCCACTACTCAACTCTTCTTTTCCTCCTTCGTTCCATCTCTCCATCATCGTCTGCATCTGCGACCTCTCTCATGACGACTATCCCTTTACCACATCCCTGATTAATATTTTCGTAGCTGGATCGTTCAAGGACAATACGTCCGTACTCGCCTTTACACAACTCCTTCCGTCAACCTTAGAGGTTTCCTCCCGTCTCTTCATTCCATGCCCATACTAGCACCTCTACACTCTTTCTCTTTCTCGTAGATCGCATCCGCTCCAAGTTCCAACTCTGTTCGTTGGACTCACCATGTTCCGTGTTCACCGTCATCTGAACCACCGCCTCGAATCCAGCAGATCCCTCATCTTGTAAGTAAGTAAACGTTCTTTCCCTACTTAGTACTTATCACTTTAAATTACATATCCACAGCCCTTTCACGCTCTCATCGGATTCATGCTCCTCTCTCCCGGCTCCCGGGCGCCTTCCATATAGTACGTATACGCGTCTTCCTTCCGTCCTTCCTTCCCATTCGTCTACCCGTACTCCTTCTCACTTCCATCATCTTTCCCACTTCCATCCTTCTATTACCTCATGTTCATCTTCCACCTCCAAAACAGATGCGCGAAAGCCTCCAATTCGATGCTGTCTCCCACGAGCGTCCGCGAATGGAGAGAAGAATTATGTTTTCCGAGAGGGAGGAAAGAAGATCTATCGACCTGAAACTGAAACGGTTCATCGCCTCGGGCACGCCTCGGTACGGTACGTCCGTGCATCGCATCGTCTCTCTTTTTCTCTTCTTCGCTTTTCCGTCTTTTTCAGGACATTGATGCGCTGGTAGGCCCTCTCCTCTCCTCCCATTTTCTCCTCTGTTCGCACGCAGTTTTTTCTTTTGCTCTGTGGATGTTGAACTCTCATCTTCGAGTCCTTCGCCTTTTTCTCTTTCTCTCTCTCTCTCTTATTTCCTGAGCCCACTCTCCTCTCGCACGAAACTACCCATAGCGGATCATGAGACCACAACCCGCCAGCGCCGCCGCTGTTGTCTTACCTCTGCACTTGACTGGTCGTATTTCGATAATGCGTGTCTGTCGGTGCGGATGTGGGGTGTTCGGTTTTGAATAACATCGGGGCTGGCGGTCATAATCTTGGATCCCAATGGCCGCTTGAGTGCCCAACTCACCCATCATTCATACTTCGCTGCCTGCTTCTGGGTCTTTATGCTTCCTACTTGCCAATCAGCTTCTTTCAATTGTTTCTCTCTTCATCCTGTGTCCGGTACACTATCCACGACCCACCACCGATGCTGCTTATTATTCCCCCTCATCCAGGTCGGGCCTAGCGCTTACTATTTCATTCGTCGCGGTGCCTGGACCACCTAGTTGTCGGTTGCACATAATATGGATGGATCGTGTATTCCGTGTGTGGGCTGCTCGTATTCAAATGCCTATGTGGTGGGTCAATTTGTGCCTACCTTGGGTTCGTTTCGTACACGGACAGAGGGCAATGAACTCCATTTGCATCTACGAGCGAGTTTCTCTGTTTCTGCGCGCACTGATAGCCTTGTCAGGATTATCCCAAACGTCGGGGTGACATAAATTACTTCATTATCACCAGCAAGCACTCAGCGCTACAGACTTTCAATTGTTGATCCATTATCGAACCCTCTTTCAACTTACTCGCACGATGAAAGGCAACGATTCTATCATATTGTGTACGACTCACGGAACTAGACGAAGCCGGGAGAAGAGATACGAGAGGGTAATAAAAGCCAGCCAACACTTTCTCGGTACAAATCGTTCTTGTCTTATTCTGCACAAAGGAAACCTCGAAATTGACGAACCGCGCTGAGAGACAGCTTCTCTGTGATGTCGTTCACAACACCCCTAAGCCTTGTCTGTGCGTCATCGAACGGCTCCGAAGCCTCTCCTCCACTGTGAAGAACCATCAGTGCCTCTTTGACCGCAGTGTCGAGCCGCTCGGAAGTACTGCGTATGTCTGATGCATACAATCTGAGGGCGTTCTGAGCGAGAAAAGCCTCATCCTCCACCTTGTACTGCTTCGTTTCTTCTGCAATTTTCTCGCCAAGTGCGTTTGGGTGACGTGGAATAAGGAAGACTTTGCTCAATGCCGAGTACTTGCTGGCGGTTTTGTTGCAGGCCATTACCCTGAGGATACTGTTGGCGTGAAATTCAAAGGTAACCTCGATTCGGGGGACACCGCGAGGAGCGGGGGAGATGTCCCTGAGTTGAAATCCACCCAGAAATTGGTTGTCTTTTATCCTTGCGCGTTCACCTTCATAGACTGAGATAGAGACATTCTGTTGGTTATCGGAATAAGTGGAAAATAGCTCTGATCGGATGGCCGGAGTTTTGGTCTTGCACTTTATAATAGAAGTAACGACGTCGCCGGCTGTCTTGACACCAAGTGAAAAAGGGGTATTGACCAAAGTCGTCTCCATGTCGTCTGAAAGACCAGAGAATGTAGGGCTTTTAGCGACGATGCTTATACCGAGACTCAAAGGAGCAACATCGAGAAGGAGGAATTCTTGGGTCTTCTCAGACGTGTCCCCAGAAAGGATCGCGGCCTGGATAGCAGCACCGCAGGCGACAGTCTCGTCGGGGTTGAGACTTAGGTTGGGCTTTTTGCCGTTGAAGAAGTCGGAAATAAGTTCAACGATGCGAGGTATGCGGGTCGAACCACCAACGAGGATGATCTCGTGGATGTTGGACTTGTTCATCCCGACGTCTTCGAGGGCTTGCTTGATGGGGTCAAGGACGCGATTAAAGAGACCGTTGCACAATGTCTCGAAGGTGGACCGAGTGAGCCAGGTGTGGAAGTCAATACCCTCAAACAATGACTTGATCTCAATTTTGACCACCGTGGAGAAGGATAGGTCGCATTTGGCACGTTCACAAGCCATACGTAGACGGAGGACGGCCCGTGGACTCGAGGAGATATCTGAGGAATAAAGGACGTCTCAGTCTATACATGATGCTAATATAGAATCCACAAACTTACCCTTCTTATTCACCTGCTTAAACTCTTCGATGAAGTGACTGACGAGCCGATTATCAAAATCCTCGCCACCAAGATGTGTATCGCCAGCGATTGCCTTGACCTCATGGATACCCTCCTCAATAGTCAAGATGGCAACATCGCAAGTTCCTCCTCCAAGGTCGAACACGAGGATATTGAACTCCTCAGGAATGCTTGTCTGCATACCGTAAGTCATAGCGGCATTGACAGGATGCGAGATTATTCTGAGAACGTTCAATCCACCAATAGTTCCCGCGTCTCTAATGGCTTGACGTTGAGAATCATTGAACATGGCCGGGACGCTGACAACAGCGTTGGAGACCACTGATCCGAGGTAAACCTCGGCTCTTCTCTTCATGTTCTCCAGGATCATAGATAATACTTGTTCTGTATGCTGTGAGATAAACGATATGAGCTTCGTGTGGTAATAGGAGTCACGAAAATCATACCAATTCCCTTTTCTCCCCGAGGTGTTGGACTGCAACTATAGGCCGACCACCGCGATTTAAGACTTGAAAAGGAAAGTACTTCATATTGTACTGTACTTCATAGCTGTCGTACTTCTGACCGAGAAGTCGCATGACGTTGAAGACACTAGAAACGCCATTTAAAAGACAGCTTGAACTGTAGACAAGTTGAGCATACGTGTTGCTGGGGTTCATCACCACTTGGGCTTTGGCGGCCTCGCCAAACAGACGCCCATCATCAGAGAAAGCAATATAAGAGGGTGTTGTCCCGTTTCCTTCATTATTTTTTATAATTTCGCATCTATCATTCTTCCAGACAGCGACGCTGCTACAAATCGGAGACGGGTTTATTTGGTGACTCGACGACTGGAAGCTAGGTATAACTTACGAATATGATGTGCCAAGATCGATGCCGATGGCCTTTGAAGAAGACATAGCGCAGTTCAAGAAGGTAATTGAGCGAATAGATGGTACAAAATTTCGAAGGAAACTTTGAGATTGGATCAATCGATAAGAACTTTGACGCTCAAGCGCCCACAATGAAGTTCGACCTTCTTTCCCACGAAGACCCTACACGTGAGGGCGCGACCAGTGAAGGTCTCTCTAAAGGTTCTCGCAAGTCCCTATATACTCTGCGTGGGGAGAAATCTATATGGATACCATTTTCAAGCTCTCGACAACAGCCCACGGCGTACAGGGTGGTCACGAATTGTATCAACCGACATTCATTTTATGCAAAGACTTTTTCAGGCCCACCACAGAGGCAACATAAATGATCGGAGGAGAGGCGCAGCTTGGTTGGAAGAGCACCTCGAAGTCTGCGTTCGGCTTCGAATCACGCTTAAGAGGCGACCAGAAACCCGGTTAATTGTGAGATTGAAAGGCTGCATCAACTTCCTGGACGGAAATGTTCGAAAATGAGAGAGGAAGTGCAGGTCATGACATATCTGTGGGCTTAGAGAGAGAGTTACGGTCTCGACGGTTCCTTAAAGTGAACTTGAAGCTCATTTTTCTCCCCTTCCGCTCTAGTCGAAAACAGTTCAACTCTGTGGTCTGTTTAAATATTTGTGGGCTAGGACTTATAAATTGGGTAATCACTGTCTTCCCCTACATTGAACTATGGCAAGACCTTTATCGTAAATGCTGCAAAGGGCGATATCGACTTCGTTGACGCGCGACTGCTCCAACTCGTCATCTCGTATGTTGACCCGTGGCTGTGCCTCTGTTGATCAGCGGCTCCCACGGGCGCTTTCTCTCTTCATCGCCAACCACCACCATGATCCGTAAGCGATTTGTCGCCGACTATGTTCCGTGCTCATTTTTCCTTGAATCATAGGTGCGTTACTCGCTGTAACTCACCTCCTATGCTACATTCACATCTAGCTTCAGTGCTGGCCTACTTCGACAGGCTTTCTTCGAGGCTATGGTCCCTGTCACCCGTGGCGAGCTACCCCATCTTTTAGGAGGAATATTTCGTGTCTGCCCCTAAAGATTAGCTAAACATGGTTGTGACAAGGTAATATCTTATTCTTCTCGAGCCCTTACTTGCTCTATGACCTCATTCTAGCTTTTGAGCTGCCCGCATATTTCGTCGACGTTAACCTCAATCGACACTTCATCCCGCCTTCCTCTTCGACTTTCGACAATACGAATTCGACGCTATAGCTACGAGGCAAACATATAGCCACGACTAGGATGATGGGTGAATGTCTCATGTACGAGGAGTCCCCCGGGAAGGCCCCCATGAGCTCGCGTTCGTTGCGTGTGTGGAGGGTATGTACGTCCACTTTTCGATCTTGCGTGATGTTGGCCATCTTCTTTAGGCTTTACTTGAGGCTAAATGTCCCTTTCCACATCGTGCACATTCAAGAACTCTGAGTCCGCCCTTGAAAGCCATATTCCAACGGCCGTGGAACACCTCCATCGCACTCTGACATTCCTCGCAGCTGAAGACAGTGACGCAAGATCTCCGATTGCACATCAACAATGGCGGAAGTGCGGAGAAGATGCGCCGGGCAGTAAGGCAATGGAGCTTCGTGTAGGAGCTCGCTGGGAATGTCTAAGTACGTTTGTTCCTTTACGTTACTTGTTTCGTCGTCTCATTCTTCTTCCAGCTACGTCCCACTTCTCCCCACGTCCCATCCACGTTTTACCTGCCCTCCTCATCGCGTCGCGTATCCACCCAATCTTAGAAGGTGAACGCCCTCCTTCGTGTTCGCCTTCCATTTCACCAAAAAGATGCCTCCCTTCTCTCATCCTGAACCACACTCTCCGCCGCTGCAAGGTCTCAAACATTTCCTGTACCGACGCCCCTCGGCCCCAGGTTTGAATATGTCCATTTGGGTTCAAAAATGACGCCGTAGCGCACATAAGGTTTTGAAGGTAAGTCTGTGCCCGTCCATAATCTTGAAGGAGTACTCTAACTCTTGACGACTCGCTCGTAGTTGGAGCCGGGCTCTGAGCTCTCTGCACTGTACGATCGCACATTTGTCCGTGGCTGTGCTACTATTCAAACAGCGGTCCTCGCTTCCTTGCTCGTTGACCACCACCACGATTCGTAAGTGATTTAACGCCGGTCGTGCACGATGCTTATATGTCTTTCTTTGAGACATATTGCGACGATTCGGCAATTCCGATTCGACAGGCATCGACAGGCCCGCTTTTAGCCGATTGCTGTCGCCTTTTTCTCGAGGTTCAAACGCCCCACAGCAGGCAGGGACCACCCTGCGCCATGAAGGTTCGAGTTTAGGGCTGAGGAAGACTGCGCAAGCCTGCAACGAGGTCCGTTTTTTGATTCATCGCGCTCTTATTTGCCCATTGAGGTCGTTATTTAGTTGCTGGACCCACGCTCTTCCTATTTGAGGAAAGACGACTCGAATTCAAGATTTAACTAGCATTGTGGGTGCTGCACGCGAATAACATGAAGATCGCGGCTTTTGGGAAGCGAAGAAAAGCCCGACAGACGAGCTCGCACCGTTAGCTATGAGTGCTGGTATGTCTCCTTTCTTTACTCACCTTCTCCACTCATGTAGCGCTACTCTAAATGATCGAGTAGCTACGTAAGCACCCATCTTCAACCCTTCTAAGTACTAGAGAGAGAACGCTAGGATGACGGATAATCCAAAGTATGTGTTATCCTGGTAAGTCGCGTTCGTTTCGACCCTTCATTCTGTTTCCAACGGCATCCTCTATTCTAGGTATACCGCACGCCTCGACGCCACACGCATGCAAAGATTACGCCCTCCCTCTCAAACTTGACCATCGAGCTTCGGCAAATCGCCTCCGGCCTACCATCCCACCACTTTCTTCCTCAAGCTGCCCATACATAAGAATTCTGCCCGTTGAAGCGCTACCGGTTGGTGGTGACGAAGTGCGAGCGACGTGAGTAGTCAGAGGTTGCGAAGGAGGTTGTGGGTATTGGCCGAGGTGCGTTAGTTTGTTGGTTCTCATTGTTCATCATCTAAAAGTTCCTCCAGCGACGTCGGTCCGTTGCCCGATGCCGAACGACTCTGACGTACTTAAGAAGCGAACCGTCGAGCCATCTCGTTCCCAACATCCATGTCCTATCCACCCCTCTCGAGCGTCGACACCTGCCATTCTACCCGCGGCTGGTTCTAACCTCACACTGAAAGCACAGCATTTAATGCCTATCGAGTAGACAGACCTGGCTGTATCTCCGCAAGATCAGTGTGTGGAAAGGCGCTGAGACCCGGAGATTACGCGTATGTCGTGCGTGCTCACCAGCCTGCCGTCTCCTCCCTGATGTTCCGGTACGCACTTCATAGCTTGTCTATCGTCAGCAGACCGCATCTCTGCGAATACAGCCCACGATTTCAAATACCCAATTACTCAACCTACTTTTCTGTTAGGTCCCTCATGTCGTTCTCGTTTAATCTGCGTCTGTCCTCCATGATCTATCGGATCGCCGGAATATCTATGAACGGGACATGCCTCAAAGCATTCAATCTCTCGTTTGCTGTCCTCGATCTCCTCAGATCTACTGTCAACACCATGAATCCGAAGACGAATCTATGGCCCACTCGCAGACATCCTCATGGTGGAAGGTCTCCATTTCTTCCGATTTGCCAGTTCAGATGCACCAAGGTCTAACAGGTGGGCATATGAAATTCTTTCGACATACAAATGCACAATTTCGTCTCGTCGTCTCAATTACTTTGCGATAGTTCGTCTCTCCTCGTCAACACCTCACACTTTTGCGCCTCCTCAACATCTGTTTGCCATATTTCGACTCTTGATATTTCTCTATCAACAGGCTTTCTCTGCCTGCACTTCCGGACACGATCTCCGATCCTCAATCTTCGTGCACATAGGACAACTTGCAGGTCGCTACTAGCTCTTTTCTCCCGTCTGCTTTCATCACAATGCCTCTCATCCACCGCTTTCCCGAAATCTATCCACCACATCGTCTTTCATCTATCTCGTTTCATCGAACGACTACGAACGGCCACAGTCACGAGAGACTAGAAGAATCGCGTCAGGAGGGAAGAAGTAACAGTCAGTTACCGTCCTACTTTCGTCTGGCACTGCGATGGACTCAGAGCTCTTGTGCCTCATTTGTGATCCAGAGACCGGGTATCGGAGGGTACTTTCTCTCGCCCCCCTCTTGACTTTCATTTCGTACTTTTCCTCTCACTCGTACCTTTATATTAATGTTTCATACCGCTCTCTAAGGGAATTCCATCGCCGAGATTCGGCACTCGTTTGAGGACACCACCATTTTTTTGCATTTTGCGTGAGTGACTCTGCTGGGTCCTGGCCATTGTGGCGCCAATCTCGACGATGGCGTCTGCGAGAGGCGTTGTCCTTGAGATACTCGGGTATCTCCTGTCTCCCGTCCGTATCTCTAACACTTTGCGCCTATTCATGTGTCATAGTTCCCTTGTTCTCCCGGAGCTTCGGCAACAGACCCCTTCGGTCCTATACTGTATATTTTCATTGCCTTGCAGTTCACTGCCGCTGTTCTTGCATATCTCGCCGAAACAGTCCGCGAAGGATACAGGTACAGAGTTACCAACAGGGCTTTTGAATTTTCTAGTCATGCTCGTTCGTCATTTGCGACCCTATTTTCGAAACTTATGGTCTGGCATGGGAAATTCGGCGGTCTCCAAGTCATAACATTGATTCTTGTTCACCTTTATGAGCAAATCAAATCATTTGCTACAGTTACTTTCTATTGACAAAAGTCAGGGATAGATCCAAGACTTTGAGCTCAATGTATGGGCAGAGGTAATATTCCGGAGATTAGATAACGGCTCAGCGGCCCGTGGTCTATCACCATGCCACACCCCATCCGCGTGTCGCATGCATCTTCCTCTTCGACGTCGACTTCGTGTGTCCTCTATAGCCTCTCCCCTCCCCTCTACGTCCCCACCTGTCCTATCGTCCTGTTCCTCTCTCGCCGAACACTTCATCGATTCGACGGGCGTTCTCTATTCCACCAAACACTCCTTATCGTGCGTCACCCGACTATTTCTTTCCCATCGATGAGTACTGGATATCTGACGTCGACTTCGCTCAGTCGCGGCCTCTCCCGATACCCTACCCGCAAATGTCTGTGTGAACGGGTGCGTACCTCGCGCTTCTGGTTGGGACACGTGTATGTGATGTCGTACACAGGTCCTCATTATAGGCTCAACCTCTGCCCATTGCGGTATCGTCTCCATCATTCTCGCCTGATTTATTCGTCATTCTTGCCAACGATCTGCACCGTCCTACGATACACATTAGCATCGGCACAGCTGACGTTGAACGGGCGAAACGAGAGGCCTGGCGGCTTAAATCTGCCTTTCCTTTGCCTCGCCGTCGTGTTGTTGTTGTTGTTGTTGTTGTCATCAGTCATGCCTGTCGTTCCGTCTTTGCTCTGCTCGATGCGTTCCCTTTCACCAAACCCTATCTCTGTCACAGTCATGGTACAAAGTACGGAATAAGACACCGATGCACACAAATCCTGACTCGTAGCTTTATCCTCAACTCTTGCGATTCCATCGCTGATAGCTATTCTGGGATCGAGAATCCACACCAGCACTCCATCGCAGATGACGGTGGTGATGCGGCTGGTCGCTCTAAGACTCTTGGAATGAAACTGTCAGCGATGCAGCCTACACGAGGAGGCGTCGGTGTCATCTTCTCTCATGACAGCTTCTGTGACTTCCTTCCCTTTCGCAATCTGTACTCTCACGGCCTCCTCGGTCCTACGCGGTGGACCACTCGTGATGCGGTGCACTCTTTCATTCACGCTGACACCATCGACTATTTCGTTATCTATCCTCCTTCGATTTCACAGACGTCGCCTCGTATAGGCCATTACACTGCGTCATCCGGCTCCCACAAACACTTGTTTGGCAACAACGCTGTTCAAAGCTCGAGATTGGGAGTGGCGATATGCCTCTCCTAATTCGCAGAATTGATACATATATTCAGTTGGTGGCTTTCAAGTGTTTGTAAAGGAAACTATCTGCGGAAAGTATATTTACGCCTTATGCATGAATCATAACTACTGGCGCCTGGATCATTCTACAATTCCTCCAGAAGATTGATAATTGTGTATGGACTTCGTTCAGCAATTGAACTGTTTGGGTGCCAATACGTGAGATAGAGAAGGTACGCGTTCACTCAGCTTTGATTAATTCTTCGTTGCCTTCTACCCGCTGTCCCTAATATTCAAATCTAGTCATCGCGAACTACTCTACCGTCGATTTACAAGTCAGAAAGATCCCGTATTTCTTCTCTATAAACAATATAGGAACTGCGATATGTATTTATAAGTGCAAGTATCGCCCTTTCGAACCCAGGTAGAGTAGAAGGTGAAGCGCTGAAGCGCTGATGCCCTGTAGCCACAGGTCCCGAAGAGAGCTCCGGAGAGATAAGATAAAGGGCTTCATGGCCCGAGCACGTCGAATTTTTAGAAGTCGTGCCACGCAATCTTCCTCTTTAACATCGACGTCGACTGTCGTCTCAGTGTCACCAGACTGCCTCCAGCCATGTCCTCAGATCGTCCTCGGACAGACAGACTGCGCCGATCTCGACGATCACACCTGGCATCGTATCCTCTTCGCTCCTCTCCTCGGCGATCTCGTTGGAAATCCCTCCTCTCGTGTCAGATCGAGAGATCTCATCCTGCCTCCGGAACACTTCTTCCCGCCCGACCACACGCGCCGACCTGTCGAGGATCCTGTCCTGCTCGCCCAGATTCTATTACTGTTTCTCGCCTTCCATCCCTCACTTCCCGCAATCCCTCTGCTCCCTATCCATATCATACACCAATCCACCCGTAGTCCAACTTTCATAGCCCATTATTCGGCAGCCTTTTCGTTTTCCCCGCATCTTGACTGGGTAGGACATTTCATCGTTCGACTTGACTCGACGCACAGATAGTTGGGCTGAGGGTTCGACGATATTGGTCTTTCCTTGTCCCAGCGTAGGATGTGGCAATTCTTGAAATGCAGGATGACTCGTTTTATTCATCCTACTCCTTCGTCCTATCTTCTGTTATTCTTCTATAACCACGGTATTGCGATCTTACACCACCGCTGGACGGCTTCCTCCAGACCCCTTTCTGCTCTCCTAGTATCGTCTACCTGCCGATTATCTGCATCGATCTCGACGATCGTGCGCGGTGCATCCCGCTTTCCCTGGTAGATTGGCCGAATGGCGATGTCATGCTTGAGCTTGAGCATGGGTGCTTCGCATCTGCGTTCGTGTTTCCACTCTTTACGCCAGCGACTCGTTTCGCTCTACAAACCTTCACGCCCCAGCGTATTACCCTTCTGATAGGGCACCCATGAGTGTCGAAGGCCGCCGAGAGTTCATCCGCTTCCGCCAAAATGAACGACTGGAAAGAAGTGTTTTATCTCTATTTTCTGTTTATGGAATCTCGCTGCAGGCATCCTTCTTTCGCACCAAGACCATATTGCACACCGATACTTCGGTACGACATCTAGCATTGCGCGGTGGCGTCAAATCTCTCAGAGCGGGCTTTCTTGCTCCAGTCCTCGCTTAGCCGAGGAGGAGAGAAATATCGGCGGTTTGGGTCTTCTCAATCCGTCAGCCCACTCTGATGAGTATTTGGGTTCCATCTGGCGATGCTACTACGTCGTTACGTCGTTGGTGTTGCCTCTTCTTATTGTTCGTTCTGCCCGAATCGTTGACATCTTACCGTCTCGAGTGTCTCGCCTCAGAGGTCTTGTAGGCACGAAGGACGGGCTCTTAATGGCCCCATAGCTCGAGATTCGCGCAAAAGGTGAGTTATGTCTGTTCTCGGAAGTATAAACGAGCTGAACGACGGGACCCTTTAGCATACCGCCACCGCCGTATTCTTCGTCCTCGACTTTTGATATCTCTCTGCTCACTGCTGTTGACAAAAGTTCCGATGACGGCTGGACCTGAAGGGTCTTAGCGCGAAGTTGAAGCGCTCGAGCACTTCATCTAAATTAATATGGCACTTACTTCATGCGAATTTACCTGTATCTTACTTAATGTTGTTCTTGTTGACCATTGAGGTATTTGATGGCATTGGCCCGACGTTCAGCCTCCGTTTCCCAATCGCGCATTAGCAATAATGGGTACCGATACTTTTTATCAAGAATCGAGGGCTTACAGGTGGCGGCAAAGGGCAAAATCTACGAGAGTGGGGACGGGTAAGTCGATGTCAACCGAATTTGAGGGAAGGCACTTACGTATGTTTCATGCCCTGTAGCCTGGTGCCCGCCCTTGTTTCCCTACCTCTATGCATTGTGTAGTTGGTGTAAATCCATGTGGTCTTGAAGGCCTTGTTACTTGCCGGATGATGGTCTTGGTCAATTAAAATTTGAAGTTCCGAGACTATACACCATAGCACTACAATATGTTTCGTAATATCAAGCTTTCTGCAGGAAAGTCTCTTAAGTTATTCATGGAGGGCAGCGAAGATAGACGGCCAGGAAGGACTCGATAGATAAGATACGCGGCTTGCCGGCCCGAGATCGATCGAGAATTTTCAACACGCGTCACACGCCTCTTCCTTCTTGACGTCGACGTCGACTGTCGCCTTCAGCCTCGCCAGATCTCCCCCAGTCATCTCCTCAGATCGTCCTCGGACACTCGGATGGCCCCGATCTCGACGATCGTGCCTAACTTCGCGCCTCCTTCACTCGTCCCCTCGGCGTTCTTGGGGATCCCCTTTGTGTCGGATCTCTCGATCTCAACCTGCTTTTCTCTTCAATGACGAAGCTCGCTAGACAGCCACACCCGCCAATCTGTCGAAGATCCTGACCTGGTCGGATTATTTCCCCCACTCTCCCCTCCCGTCCGCCGATTCCCACTGCAGCCTGCAGTCTGATCTTCATTGTCCCCACATCCTCGGCCTTTGAGGAACTTCATCAATTGACCTACCCTAGTGCATAGATCCTTGGGCAGGCGGTTCGATGATTAACTCGTCCTCCCAGTTGAGGATGTGAGGATTTTCGAACTGGAGATTGGGTAATGTGATGGATGGCTGGTACCGGTGAGCGCTTCTCGTTGTCATCGTGCACATTCGCCATACTGCACGTGGGCCTTTCTTTGCCTAAGCCTCTTTCTTTGCAATCATGCGCACTGGGCTAATCGCCATCGATCCCGCCTCGCAACCACTCCACCTCCTACGATTTCGATTTCAATTCCGACGAGATAGGCGTCGCCGAACCTGTCAAGCACTGAGTACCGACTTAATCGATTCTGCAGACGTCGCAGAAACGGCACAAGGGTACTCTCATGAATAAATGCCTCCTGACTTGGGCGATGCCTCCCTCGAAGACGACCGATTGCGAGACTTATTTCTCTGGCTGAGGCACGAATGCGGCACTGCAATGTTTCATCGTGATCTGAAATCCAACTTCAACGCTGGGGCTACACCCTTCGTACACCTTTCCACGCATCATACTGGTTCTCGAAATATTCAGGTCGGATGTTCTGCGAAGCGCAGCGTCACACGGCGGCTCTGTTTATCCGAGTGGTTATCCCTTTCGACCCTCAAGTAGGGCCGATTCAAGGGTGCTTCCAGCCCTTGAGCCCTTCTCAAGCCTTGATTCTACTCTGTTCCAGACAATGGCCCTACCTGTGGCGGTCTCCCGCGCCCTACGTACCTGGTTCCCTGGACAAACTCAACAAGCATCTATAATTTCATTTAGCGCGCAGCATTAGCCTTCCTTCACGCTCTCTGTGTATGCTTCGTTATCACCGACGGCACGGTTCAACCATACCACCGAAAGCCCACCGACCACTCCTGTGCATATTGCAGGAGATGTACAAGGTGCGCTCTCTGAATGTTGGTGCCGTTCTATCGGTGATATAGCATGCATTAACAGGTTCCATGTCCTGCCACACGTCGAGCATTCGGCATCGAAGTCGAATCCCCCGAGGCCGATCCAACCTCGAATTGCGAATTACGCTTTTGTATGATTCTGCGCTTCCTATATTTTTGCCAAACTCGTCATGATCACGTCTATCAAGAGACTGCACCGTTCAATGTTCTCTCAGACTCGGAGCCGCCACTTGTGGCCCTACTGTGTCCGCGTTTTATCGAACGCTTCGCTATTGTAGGCTGTTTTCGAGCATATGAAGAAAGATAAACGGCTTGTCGGCCCGAGGTCTTCCTGGCATTCGAAAACTCGCACCACCACACGTCACACCCTTCTTCTTCACTGACGCCCACGACCAACCGACATTAGGCTCCCTCCAGACCTGTTTCTGCTTTCCGAGGGCCATCTGGCTGCCGATAACTTGCGTCGATCTTCATGATCGGGCGTAGCAGGCGACGGATGCCCCTTCCTGCCTCCTCTTCGAAACGTGCGTGTACTGCTCCCCTTCCCCACAAGATCCCGCTGATCTCGTCCTCCTTGCACTATCCGTGATGTCTCACCAGCTCTTGCGAGAAGGGACGATCTGCTCATATCTCTTTGTTCGTCGATCTCACGTCATTGTCCTCCATCGCAGCCGGGACCATCGACTTCTCTTGCCCTGCCGCTTGCCCGATCACAGTCGCTTCCGCCCGTCCTCTACCACCTATCGACTTTCGTGCTAGCATCGACGGCGATATACCTACCCCCTGTCCCTGTGACCACGGCCGGGAAGCTACAAAACGATCAGCGATTGGCACGTATACGCTCACAGTTCGTGGGCTAAGCGGCCAATAGCTGGTTGGAAAGTTTTTTCCTGTTCCAGCCGTGGTCTCACACCAGGATGGGGAGGTATACCCACGATGACTTCTATACACCACAAGTAACGTGGGTCTGTCTCGCCCTCGCGACGTTCTCGACCGTCCGCACCGAGTGGGCATATTTCACTTTCTCCCTATCGTACCGATCAATCGATTAGCAAGCGAGCAAGGCATGACCGAAGGCTGGCTGGCTACTGAGACGGCACTCGATCACCTTTTCGTGCGCTACAAATGTGAGCTGAGGTCCCTCGGTTGAAGATCGCCGTCTGTTCGTTATGCATTGCTCAACCACGGGTGGACGATTGACACGACGTACCGATACGTCATTCTTATCAAATTACTCGAGTTGGTACCAGCTACCACCGGACCTCACTGCACTTACACCATCTTCACTACACGGGCTGGCGTTTATATGTATTGGGCTTTAATTTATCAAGCACCCAGGTGCCGAGCGTGGTGTCTAGCATCAGAATATGGTACTGAATCTCTCAGAGTGTGTCATCTCTCTTCCCTGTTCGCAAGCGAACCCGGAGAGGAGCTCGGGAGAGCAAGGTCTTCTTGAATCCCGAGTACACTTTCTTCAACCTATTCTCTGATGCTATATTTCGAGCTCTCGGTTCTGGAAAATTTTCCTGTTTCCTTTGCCCAACATCGTGCTTCTTGATGTTCTACGCATTCGCAGTATCCAGATCTCTACTCGTGCTTATGGCGTCGTTCCTGGGGATGAATCGTTCGACACGCGCTGAGCACGGCTCCGAGCTGTTTGTCGGGAAGGGTTCAATCATTAGAAATCTACGTGGAGGAAATCGTTCCAGATGGGATAGCAGCGCGGGTGGGGTAGAGCTTACATCCAGCATGATACCGTTGGATCGCGAGTCCAAATCTCTCATCCGGATCCATATATTGAGCCGCGTCTAATATTATTTGCTCTATCAAGAGGTGGGTTAAACACTCTCATTTCCCTCTGCGTTACATTCCATAGCTCGCTGGAATTTACAGGTTTGCCTCAGGATATAACCTCTGGGAAATATAGGGCCTTAAATATAATTCCCTGAGAGCACCGGAGATAATTTCGAAATTTCGGGCAATCTTTGCATGAACTCTTGCATGGATGCAAAGTTTGACGATTAGCTTTACTTATAAGTTATCTCAATTTTCGACTTGAGCATCATAAGCATCCTTCTCGCGTGTTCACTCTGCCACGATCAGATAGTGGCCAGAAGGTAAGCCGTGGAGCAGGTCGGTCCGATAAATGTCAGGCAAGGAGGAAGCCCCTCGTGCTCACGTCACAGGCATCTTCAACTTGACCTACGACGTCGACGTCGACTGGGGCTTCCTCCATAACTCTTTCTCCTATGTCCTCGGACCATTCCCGATCTACGACTTGCGCCGATCTCGGATGTCAGGCGCAGTGTCCTGCATTGGCCGCCCTCACTCATTCTGCCGCCTCTTGCCTACCAGTCCACCACCCACCATCTCTCCACAGATCTAGAGATCGCAGCTCGATCGACTCATCCCATCTGCCCTCTACCTCTCTATGGTGCTCGCCTCGTCGATAGCCTTGCCGATCTGTCTCATCTCCCCTGGCTCGGTCCGTCTTCACCGACTTGTCTCTCGCTTCCATCCCTTCCTAGCCCCACCAGCTCGTCTAACACCCTCTGCTCCCCCCTTCGTCGTCCGCCAACGGATACATCTGCTACTTCTGTTACTCGCAATGTGGCCGAACTACCGTTCCTTCTGTGTATCCACGGCCTAGTGGAGCAAGGAATGTCAGCTATCGGTCCGTCTTCGTCCACACGTCGTTGGCGCAGGGGACCCATAACTGTGCTATCCCTTTGACCTTGATGGCCGTGGACGTATCCGAGAATGAGGAATTCGGTTCTTCTGCCATCATCCAATCTTGACGTTGGAAATGTCAACTGGTACCCACCTTTTCGAGCCGGCGCCTGGCAATCCTTCCCTATCCCAACATCGCCAACGACCACCTCCTGCCCGACCGATATACGCCATACTAACCCGCCCATGCGCGGCATCGCTGAAAGACTCGTTCTACAGAGAATCCACTCAATCCTATGCGCAGATGCTGCGGATACGGAATGTGCGCCTTCTCTGGTCCAGCCGGGTCCGATGGCGATGCCCTGCTCGAGGCCTGCTCGGTGTCTCTCTGGAATTCAGACCTCCATGGCACCAGTGTCGACATCCCAGACTGTGTATCATTCCTCCCTTCTTTTATCTGCGTCGCGCCCGCGCCCGTTCCGGTACAACTCGTCCTACCGTTGAGGCTTGTTCCAAACCCTTTCTCTTCCCTGACTTTCCTCCCCAATCCATCGCGTACACCAGTCGGCGACTATGACAATCTAGCATCACACGATGGGGCCAAACGTCTCTGAGCGGATCTTGTCCTTCAGTATTCTCTACATTAGAATCTGGAGGAAAGATCAGGTGCTTATGGTGGTCAAAGTATCCAGCCCGCTCTAAGAATTTGTGTGCCATCTGGTGCTGCGAAGTACGTCTCGTCGACGTCGTCATTGGTACAATATTTCATTCTTCTCCTTGCTGGTTCTGTTCCCGAACTATTTTATCTTTATGGTTGCAATCCTTCTTAGTCCGGGACTCCCGGTCGCTCTGAACGCAGTTGCAAATTCAAATTTTGAACGGTCAATGGAACTTTTTCTATAATTTGCCATCCGTGCGTTCCGCGACAGCGGAATATGGAGGACACAATATAATTGCATACTTCTTGGGCCCTGGAAACCTGTATATATCTGCCACAAAGTAGGATACAGTCTCGGGGTCAAAAATAGACGTCAACATCGCGGCTACGAAATGACTGGAATTTGGAGGCCGAGTTTCAGCCCTTATATCTTCATGGAGATATTTCGCTCAAGTATTCACCGTGTCGGTCGCCATGAAGTTGACAGTGTATTCGCCTCTCGATTGGTGAATTCCCAGGCATATAGTATGGTCGAGGGCAAGGATTGTACGTCCTATGGTGTAGCTTAAGAACGTAGGGCCGAAGCGAACGCCGATGTGAACACAATTTCATGGCGGAGGTGCAGAAGGTAGGACAATCCCATTGGCTATTGGCCCATGTTTTGCGGTGAGAAGCACATCCTACCATCGCGGACAAAAACGACTCACTCGTGGCATCGTTCCTTCAGACTCGGATATCTGACGACAGCGAATTGGCCCCAACGAGTCAGTCAGATGCATGGCCTATCGGCTGTCGAGAGACAGAGCTCCGGAGGAGCGATGCCAGGTGTTGGGGATGGATTTGACGGTGCGAATGGGACGGGAATGGACCGTGGTTAGGAGGTGTTGATTCTGGGAAAGGACCAGAACTGCCTCGACGAAGAACCGCTAGCGAAGCATCACTCCCTCATGAAAGCAGGACACCAGAGTTCCACATCCCCTTATCGCAATGGCGCGAAAAGATTGCGTAGCCTCGGGACATGCCTGCGAGGAGTGATGCTACGCGCGATTTCGACGTTGGTGTTGAGAGACGGAACATGGGAGGAGAGATACATAAGTCGCACAAAGGTCGAAAGAGGGGCGAAATGATCGTTTGTAGTATGTGATAGAGTTCTGAGCTAAAGTCCAGAAACATGCACAGCGGGCACCTGGGCGATGGCCCAGAGTTCCTAGGACGGAGAGGGTCCTTCCGTGTCGCAATCAGCGAGATATTGAGGGGCTCGGGTGCGGTCTAAAACGGTGGTAGATTTCCGTCGCGGGGGTAGGATAGGTGAATGTCTGCAGCAGAAAGATGGGTACCGGGTACTGAAAGGTGGAGCGGGTTGGGCTTCTTGTTCATGAAGGACGTTGGGCGATGGAGTGAGGAGAGCGTGTAGTCGATCAATCGATTAGCTCGCTCTGTGTCGAGACGCGGGCAAAATCGTCAGTGAGGTGAGAAGAAGAGCGATACGTAACCAAAACCCTCGGATTTTTTCTCTTCGCGATACAAAGAGAGCATTGGAACGTGAATTAGGGAGTCCTCGACATCGAGGTTGGAGAGCAACCTCATTCGGCGTAACGGGGCGTGACGTCGACAAATGTGACATCTCACGCCCTTCTTACTCGAACCCGCCCCATCCTCGGACCATCCTCCCTGCGCCTCTTACAGACGTCGATCTCGAATCCCGAACCCCGATGAATCGGCCTCTCCTCCGCGGCGCACTCCCTCTCTCATTCACTGCTCGGTGCCGTGGAGATACACGTTCACGTCCCCCCAACAGATCTACCGATCGATCCCGCCCTCTCTTCTCTCTCCTTCAGTCCTCGACTGCTCTATAGGTCTAAGGGTTCTATGCACCGACTTTGCTCTTGCCTGCGCCGCGCATATATCGTGCCTGAACCCGATGATGCGCATTGGGCTCTCGAGAACGTGCCGGCTGTGTGCCGTCGACGGGTTGCCTTTCCACGACACGGTTCGTAAATCGACACTTTGTCCCCTCATCCGAGTCCTTACCTGATTCCTAGTCTTTACTGGCTCCTGCACGTCCTCCACACCAATTCCCCTTCTATTCCGACCCCGGGTATCCTGTCCTACCTCACTCGAAGCCCCAGCTCATCGCGCAGGATATTCCCCCGACACCGAGGACCTTTCGCCCATTTATCTCCGCGTCATTCACTACTCCTCTTCCCCGTCGTCCATCCAGTCAACGTCAACACACGAAGTCGAGTTACGCAATTTGGATCGAGGAGAGGGCAAGGCATGCGTCGATGAGGAGGAAGAAGACGTCTGGCCCATCCTAGGTCTGAATCGACACTGGGCATGGCAGGCAAAGCGTTGGCCGGGAGAGGTCGGCTCCGCTGGACGGTATTGGGGCTGTGAAGAACAGAGGGGCTCAACACGTTGGCAAGTCGTTCGTATTATGCCCGAGGACCGACAACTTACCCATGTTTGTGTTCTAGGCGATTCCAAAGGCTTTGTATCTCGACACTCGAGCCGACGTTGGCGTTCGAGCAACAGTGCCAGTGATGTGAGAGGTAAGTTCGGCTTATTTTCGAACTAGGTTTGTTGACTTACGAACCGTAGCTCATGGATTGAAGACCTCGGCGATTGTGTTGGCTTCGACCTCGGCGTCTCTACATCCGCCCTCGCCGTTTCTGGAGGAAACAACATCGCATCCTCTGCAACGGCACTTGCTGGACGACAGCGACGGGTGCTTAGAGGGCGGCGGTGCGAAGTTCGAGAACATTCAGACACATCGCGTGGTCAACATTCGGCTCTGGCGTGCAGCTGGACTTCGGTTGATGATTAAATAAGAGGACGGGAAGAGCCGGTAGAGGCGGCGACTCGGACGAGGACAGGAGGTGCGTCCGAACAATTTTCCAAACCCGGAACTATTAAGCTTATCTGTCTCTTAGTCTTGTGTTGGCTGTCCTCGTGGTTGAGTACTGTGTTCGCCACCGACTGTGCTTTCGTGCCCCAGTCAAGAGTGAGTATTCACCATTCTCTTCGCCGGCCCACGTGAACTTTTTTACCGTACTTCCAACAGCATCCTCTGAGCACCTCGATGCGCAAGTTGACCGTTCCAGAATGTTTACATACATATGGGGATGCCGAATTAAAGTGGTGGCGGTGGATGGAGAGGATACGAGGGTGGGCTATGAGCAACGAAGTCAAAAGAAGGTCCTTACCGCTCGCGCGCCGCAGCTTCCTGGCCATCCATATCGGTCAACGTCCTAGTACTCTATGTCGGGGTAAGTCCTCATCCTGCCCAGTGATTGTCCGCTTACCCTACGGCGTCATATTCTTTGGCTTTCCAGATGCTAAGCCTACATCTATCCGCATTTACCCGCGGACGGTGCCTCTTTCTCTCGTATTATCCAGAGATCGCGGTATGTTATCCCTTCTATTCTCCTCTGAATTAATTTCCAGTTCAATCGTGCGCCTTCTGATCATACGCCCAAGCGTCGCATCTTCGATCTCTTTCTGCCCGCATCTTGTATCCTCATCATCCCTCCCCGCTGCCATCTGAATCTCCCTTCACCGTCCCTCCTCGATCCACGGCCTAGACAAAGACGGACTACCAGTTATTAGCCAACGTCGGGTCACTAACCCTGGACTAGGGGTGAGTAGCTGTAAACCGCTCCCGGACGACTAGGCCGTGAGATGAGTTGAGGATGGGGAAATCGCCGTCAGATCCTCTGCACTCGAAATGCGCTGCCTTCCCTCAGTCCTCACGTGGCTCGTATGCTCCTTCATTGAGGCGGCATCGCCAATGATCGTCTCCTACCGACAACCGTGCCATCCCTTTGCGCGTACGTTGCGAAAGTGAACAAAGGCTCTTAGTCGGTAAGCCGAAGTTCATCTGGTGATGCCCTGCTCGACGACGGCGAAGCACGCTATGACACTGATTTCGACGTCCGGGGTGGTCTATTTTGCGTTCTTTCATTTTTCTCACTTATGCCTACGCCAATTTCAATCCTTCGTCTGCGTCCTCCCTGCTCTCCCTTTCTTTGTGGCATCCAGCTGGGGAAATACAATGGCATACCTAGCATCGCCAGCCGATCCCGCCTTTCTCAGGCTGTAGTAGTCTGTTCATTCGAAGCCGCGAGAATCTCGGCCTCAAAGGTCGGTCTGATATAACACAGCGGGGATCATCTGGCGATGCTAATGTTGTTCCTCCATTCTCGAGCGGATTCTGGTTCCGCGTCATTTACATTATTGGAATTTTTCTGCACCGCACGGAATTCCTCGTTCGCACCTCGTATTGCCTGACAATGCGTCTCCTGACCCAATGCTGCGTCGCAGAATATTGCTGGACACGAGGACCTACTCAACCCCCTCCTCGAATCGGAAGACGAAGACTTTCGGTGATGTGCCTACGGTGGGGTGATCGTGCGAATAATGAATGACAAACACACACCCAAAACACCGCAATGAGTGGCTCTGAGGTGCGAGGACAGTTCCGTGGTTGTGCGGCTCTAACCAGTGGGCGCGCGCGACTCGAAGACGGATGGCGAATGCGGGCGCTAAGCGTGGGAACGGGACGAATGAGGCAACGGTGCCTCCGAAATACGAGTGAGAGAGCGAGGAACGAGGGAGGTGAGAGACGGAAAAACGAACTAAATTCTCTATATTGTGTGAGTGTGTAGACATGGATTATATCTATGAAGAAAGAAGAGCCCGGCAAGGAAGATATCCGAGCCGTGGGTGAAGGAAGAAAGAAAAACAGAAATTTTCAGATAAGAATGAAACAGGAATGGAATAGGGGAGAGGCGGCGAGGCGGCAACTGCGTTGATGGGGGAAAAGGCTACCTAACAAGGAAAGGGTGGCGCGCCGAGCGTCTCGGTGAAACGGGAAAGAGAGGGAAAGAGGCGGTGCCGGTCACGGGACGGATGCTTTTGCTGACTGAGGATCTCCGGGTGTGTCGAGGAATCATATGGCTCGGGAAAGGTGATGGGAAAGACGAGAATGTGATGATGAAGGTCGAAAAAAGGGATTTACGGGGTCAGGGAGCAGTCCGGCTCATCATCGGCTTATTCCCTTCCCTTACGCATAACATCGCTTGGATGGAGCATGCTCGACACACGACGAGCCAAGGCGACGATAATCGCGCTGGACTCTCATCTGTGTCGTCATATGGTGATACCCATTTCAATGATGTTTTACGCGACGGAGGGCAAAGTCCTAGTCGGTCTCGACTCTGCTACTCCAAACGTCCTTTGTACCACTGTATTGTGCAGATGTTTTCGTGGACCAAGGCAAGCGAACGAGCGATGATTTTGTTTCGCTTGTCTCCTTTGGCATCGAGCTCATACGGGTCCTCTGCTCCTTACATTTCCCTTCGTCTCCGTCTCTCTAACGTGTCTATGCCTATGACATCCCGACCTGAAGTAACGAATCTCCATCGCTACTCCGCTACCCTTCAAGTCCACCTCGACCGCCTGGCATCAGCCATTGGGTACTCTCTCGACGGCTGATTCGTAGCAGTGTGTTTCACTCTCTGCCGCGAGTCGCGGTTGATCGTATAGATACCTATTTCTGATTCCATGTGCGCAAGAGTGCTTGGATATCCTTTGGGTATACGGCAGCACTGGTCTATTGGACGAAAGCTGTCAAATTAGACCAGAGAAGGTACAACTCTGGCTGGAATTTTTCGTCGTTATCATGGAGTCGCGATTAGTATGTACCATAAATGAGAAAGGGACGCACAGTTCGTCGAGAAGTTGGAGGCGCTGATCAGGACCCGTGTATGCGAAGTTGAGGTCGGCGCCTTCGTCCATGTTCCTGGGATCAAAGATGTGACGGAGGAAACTCCAGAACGCTGCAAGGTCGTCTCGGTTATCGACCTGCCCGACTGGTTGTCAGGAGTTTGATTGTGGCAAGCCTGGATGGATTAACATAGTCCAATGACATACCCCCAGTCGACACTTCGAGCACGAGAGGTAACACGTTCGGTCCAAATACATGAGGAAAGAAGGGAATAATATTCGTCGAATACTAGTCCGTTCGTATCCTCTGTATCGACTGGCAGCATCCTCTCGTGGTGATGCAGGAAAGTGAGAGACATAGGAATCAATAAGGAGAGGAAATACGGAGGCAGAAGCAAGGCGATGGGGGGCGGATGCAATGTGGGTGAAAATGGAGAGCATCGACGAGACGATTGCGGTATGCTCCTATCGATCACTCGTCAGGAGGTCGACACCTGGAGTGGTGGAGATAAAGAAGGTGCCGTACGCCTACTAAGGACTGGATGTCGTCTGAGCACAACAAGGGAAGAAGGACGCAATAATATTCGAATATTGGACCTCTCGTCTCCTTGTTTTAGATGCCAGCCCTGTCTCATGGTGCTGCCGGAAAGAGAAAGACGTAGACATAGGCGGCCAGTTACTGAGGCGGACGCAGAGGGATGATAGGTGTTCGAGTAGGTGAAGGAAGATAGGGGGTGTCGATAATTCGAAAATGTATGTTAGAAGCGGACAAGAAGTTACCGAAGAGCTTTTGTGTGAAGGTCGGATTCGAATATGGGGGGGAAGGGAGTGAGAACAGCTCTTGTAGAGGCATAGCAGGTGTGGATGGTGGGAGGAGGGAAGAAAAGACGTGGGCGATGTCGATGAACGTTGAAAATTTTGAGGGTCCGGGATTGGCAGATGCCGAAGCGGCCGAGTTGATAAGATAAAATCAGCTGATAGGCCGGGTCTAGACCGCCATTCGTAATCCATTCCCGAAAGCAGATTTGAACGACTTGCCTTCATTCCACACCCTGAACAGGTTGCTTTGGCCCATCCTCGCTCTCCTGCTCATCCGTGTACCTTATCGAACACCGCCAACATTGGCTTCGAAGCTAAATCGATGCCATCGTGATCATCGCGATCATCAGTTCCAACACGCGATCCCCGCCTCGTTCTTCCAATCGTGCTCGCGCATCCACCTCAATCACGACACACCCCGTTTCCGCCTCTTTGAGCCTATCCCTGCTATACACATATGTGGCGGCAATCCCGGGGCACGTGGCGAGGCTTCCCCTTTACGATCGATGACCCACGCGAACTCCCTTCTGACGCCAATTTTGGACGATGGCAGGAACAGCAATATGCACGCAAGGATCTGTGTTGAGGATGATAAAGAAAGGCGCGTGGATGAGAGGGAGCATGTGTGAGGTGGTGAGTCTCTCCTCTTCGTCACTGTTCGTGATGAGCTTACCTTCTCTCTCTACCGTAGGCCGCGTGCGAAGTGTTTACGGGAGCGGAGAATGCCTTGTAGCAGTATCGAGAAAACAAGCGCGGACTGAAGGTGAACTCAACTTCATATCGAGCAAGGACAAATACTCACTGTCCTCTAGCCCAACGCGCACCATGATTCATGACCAAACGGCGATTCTCCGACACCCAGGCTCATTCAGGACAACAAAGGCACACATAGCGACGCCCTTGCACGAGGAGTCGGTCTTCGACTCGGTGAGTCCGTAGTGTTGGAGTCGAGGAGCAGAGGACTCATCTTCGGGCATGAAACTTGTGCGCAGCCGAATTACCTCTCATCGGACCCTCAAACGCCGTAGTCTGTGTGGACATGCAGGCATCTAGGAGGTAAATATCCCTTCATATCGTTACAAGAGAAGGACGTTCACTCATTCTTTGCAGAAATCCATTTCGGGTGCCGTGGCTGCATATCAAGTACCTGCGTAATAGTGACCCCAGTGCCAAACGCTGACGAAGATTGGATCTCGGTCAGATGCAGAACATGGGCGTAGCTTGGAGCTACGAGAGGAGGTTAGCCTGGGTGGTCCACGGGAAGTGAATTTCGCAGCCGTT